CTCTCTTGGGACCTTCCCTCTCGTCCTCCTCATCCCCTCCTACCTGGTTCTATTGCTACTCTAACTTTCTTGTGTGAACTTGTGAGATCATTGTGATTGAGTTACGTTTTCTATGGCAGCATACCTCCTAGTGCGCCGAAGTTCATAACTCGAGTTATACTCCATATTCTGATACTATTCAAATTGGGAAAGATAGCCACGGTCAAGGGCTACAACATACTCGAGTTTGAAAGAATTCTAACAGTGGACCTTTCGTCGACGACGTTTCTTGTGACGACGACTTTTCTGTCCAGAATTGTAGTTGACGATTTTGAGATATTTCAGCCCCTAATCTTCATAGACTCCGTCCTTAATCTCTAACAAGAACAAGGGCCTAGTGTGTGCAAAACTGCAAGAACAAGGGCCTAGCGTGTGCAAAATTGCAAGAACAAGGGCCTAGCATTCGCAAAATAGCAAGAACAAGGGCCTAGCGTGTGCAAAATTGCAAGAACAAGGGCCTAGCGTGTGCAAAATTTCAAGAACAAGGGCCTAGCGAGTTCAAAAAAAGGGGCCTAGCGTGTGCAAAATAGCAAGAACAAGGGCCTAGCGAGTGCAAAACTGCAAGAACAAGGGCCTAGCGTGTGCAAAATTGCAAGAACAAGGGCCTACCGTGTGCAAAATTTCAAGAACAAGGGCCTAGCGTGTAAAAAATAGCAAGAACAAGGGCCTAGCGTGTGCAAAATTGCAAGAACAGGGGCCTAGCGTGTGCAAAATTTCAAGAACAAGGGCCTAGCGTGTGCAAAATAGCAAGGAACAAGGGCCTAGCGTGTGCAAAATTGCTGAACAAGGGCCTAGTGTGTGCAAAACTGCAAGAACAAGGGCCTAGCGTGTGCAAAATTGCAAGAACAAGGGCCTAGCGTGTGCAAAATTTCAAGAACAAGGGCCTAGCGAGTGCAAAATTGCAAGAACAAGGGCCTAGCGTGTGCAAAATAGCAAGAACAAGGGCCTAGCGTGTGCAAAATTGCAAGAACAGGGGCCTAGCGCGTGCAAAATAGCAAGAACAAGGGCCTAGCGTGTGCAAAATTGCAAGAACAAGGGCCTATCGTGTGCAAAATTGCAAGAACAAGGGCCTAGCGTGTGCAAAATAGCAAGAACAAGGGCATAGCGAGTGCAAAATTGCAAGAACAAGGGCCTAGCGTGTGCAAAATTGCAAGAACAAGGGCCTAGCGTGTGCAAAATTGCAAGAACAAGGGCCTAGCGTGTGCAAAATAGCAAGAACAAGGGCATAGCGAGTGCAAAATTGCAAGAACAAGGGCCTAGCGTGTGCAAAATTGCAAAAACAAGGGCCTAGCGTGTGCAAAATTGCAAGAACAAGGGCCTAGCGTGTGCAAAATAGCAAGAACAAGGGCATAGCGAGTGCAAAGTTGCAAGAACTTGGGCCTAGCATGTGCAAAATTGCAAGAACAAGGGCCTAGCGTGTGCAAAATTGCAAGAACAAGGGCCTAGCGTGTGCAAAATTTCAAGAACAAGGGCCTAGCGTGTGCAAAATTGCAAGAACAAGGGCCTAGCGTGTGCAAAATTGCAAGAACAAGGGCCTAGCGAGTGCAAAATTGCAAGAACAAGGGCCTAGTGTGTGCAAAACTGCAAGAACAAGGGCCTAGCGTGTGCAAAATTGCAAGAACAAGGGCCTAGCATGTGCAAAATAGCAAGAACAAGGGCATAGCGAGTGCAAAATTGCAAAAACTTGGGCCTAGCATGTGCAAAATTGCAAGAACAAGGGCCTAGCGTGTGCAAAATTGCAAGAACAAGGGCCTAGCGTGTGCAAAATTTCAAGAACAAGGGCCTAGCGTGTGCAAAATTGCAAGAACAAGGGCCTAGCGAATTCAAAATTGCAAGAACAAGGGCCTAGCGTGTGCAAAATTGCAAGAACAAGGGCCTAGCGTGTGCAAAATTTCAAGAACAAGGGCCTAGCGTGTGCAAAATTGCAAGAACAAGGGCCTAGCGAATTCAAAATAGCAAGAACAAGGGCCTTGCGTGTGCAAAAATGCAAGAACAAGGGCCTAGCGTGTGCAAAATTTCAAGAACAAGGGCCTAGCGTGTGCAAAATAGCAAGAACAAGGGCCTAGCGTGTGCAAAATAGCAAGAACAAGGGCCTAGCGTGTGTAAAATTGCAAGAACAAGGGCCTAGTGTGTGCAAAACTGCAAGAACAAGAGCCTAGCGTGTGCAAAATTTCAAGAACAAGGGCCTAGCGTGTGCAAAATTGCAAGAACAAGGGCCTAGCGTGTGCAAAATAGCAAGAACAAGGGCCTAGCGTGTGCAAAATTGCAAGAACAGGGGCCTAGCGTGTGCAAAATTGCAAGAACAATGGCCTAGCGTGTGCAAAATTGCAAGAACAAGGGCCTAGCGTGTGCAAAATTGCAAGAACAAGGGCCTAGCGTGTGCAAAATTGCAAGAACAGGGGCCTAGCGTGTGCAAAATTGCAAGAACAATGGCCTAGCGTGTGCAAAATAGCAAGAACAAGGGCCTAGCGTGTGCAAAATTGCAAGAACAGGGGCCTAGCGTGTGCAAAATTGCAAGAACAATGGCCTAGCGTGTGCAAAATTGCAAGAACAAGGGCCTAGCGTGTGCAAAATTGCAAGAACAAGGGCCTAGCGTGTGCAAAATTGCAAGAAAGAGGGCCTAGCGAGTGCAAAATTGCAAGAACAAGGGCCTAGCGAGTGCAAAATTGCAAGAACAAGGGCCTAGCGAGTGCAAAATTGCAAGAACAAGGGCCTAGCGTGTGCAAAATTTCAAGAACAAGGGCCTAGCGTGTGCAAAATTTCAAGAACAGGGGCCTAGCGTGTGCAAAATGCAAGAACAAGGGCCTAGCGTGTGCAAAATTGCAAGAACAAGGGCCTCGCGTGTGCAAAATTGCAAGAACAAGGGCCTAGCGTGTGCAAAAACAAGGGCCTAGCGTGTGCAAAATAGCAAGAACAAGGGCCTAGCGAGTGCAAAACTGCAAGAACAAGGGCCTAGCGTGAACAAAATTGCAAGAACAAGGGCCTACCGTGTGCAAAATTTCAAGAACAAGGGCCTAGCGTGTGAAAAATAGCAAGAACAAGGGCCTAGCGTGTGCAAAATTGCAAAAACAGGGGCCTAGCGTGTGCAAAATTTCAAGAACAAGGGCCTAGCGTGTGCAAAATAGCAAGAACAAGGGCCTAGCGTGTGCAAAATTGCTGAACAAGGGCCTAGTGTGTGCAACTGCAAGAACAAGGGCCTAGCGTGTGCAAAATTGCAAGAACAAGGGCCTAGCGTGTGCAAAATTTCACGAACAAGGGCCTAGCGAGTGCAAAATTGCAAGAACAAGGGCCTAGCGTGTGCAAAATAGCAAGAACAAGGGCCTAGCGTGCGCAAAATTGCTGAACAAGGGCCTAGTGTGTGCAAAACTGCAAGAACAAGGGCCTAGCGTGTGCAAAATTGCAAGAACAAGGGCCTAGCGTGTGCAAAATTTCACGAACAAGGGCCTAGCGAGTGCAAAATTGCAAGAACAAGGGCCTAGCGTGTGCAAAATAGCAAGAACAAGGGCCTAGCGTGTGCAAAATTGCAAGAACAGGGGCCTAGCGCGTGCAAAATAGCAAGAACAAGGGCCTAGCGTGTGCAAAATTGCAAGAACAAGGGCCTATCGTGTGCAAAATTGCAAGAACAAGGGCCTAGCGTGTGCAAAATAGCAAGAACAAGGGCATAGCGAGTGCAAAATTGCAAGAACAAGGGCCTAGCGTGTGCAAAATTGCAAGAACAAGGGCCTAGCATTCGCAAAATAGCAAGAAAAAGGGCCTAGCGTGTGCAAAATTGCAAGAACAAGGGCCTAGCGTGTGCAAAATAGCAAGAACAAGGGCATAGCGAGTGCAAAGTTGCAAGAACTTGGGCCTAGCATGTGCAAAATTGCAAGAACAAGGGCCTAGCGTGTGCAAAATTGCAAGAACAAGGGCCTAGCGTGTGCAAAATTTCAAGAACAAGGGCCTAGCGTGTGCAAAATTGCAAGAATAAGGGCCTAGCGTGTGCAAAATTGCAAGAACAAGGGCCTAGCGAGTGCAAAATTGCAAGAACAAGGGCCTAGTGTGTGCAAAACTGCAAGAACAAGGGCCTAGCGTGTGCAAAATTGCAAGAACAAGGGCCTAGCGTGTGCAAAATAGCAAGAACAAGGGCATAGCGAGTGCAAAATTGCAAGAACTTGGGCCTAGCATGTGCAAAATTGCAAGAACAAGGGCCTAGCGTGTGCAAAATTGCAAGAACAAGGGCCTAGCGTGTGCAAAATTTCAAGAACAAGGGCCTAGCGTGTGCAAAATTGCAAGAACAAGGGCCTAGCGTGTGCAAAATTGCAAGAACAAAGGCCTAGCGAATTCAAAATTGCAAGAACAAGGGCCTAGCGTGTGCAAAATTGCAAGAACAAGGGCCTAGCGAGTGCAAAATTGCAAGAACAAGGGCCTAGTGTGTGCAAAACTGCAAGAACAAGGGCCTAGCGTGTGCAAAATTGCAAGAACAAGGGCCTAGCGTGTGCAAAATAGCAAGAACAAGTGCCTAGCGTGTGCAAAATTGCAAGAACAAGGGCCTAGCGTGTGCAAAATTGCAAGAACAAGGGCCTAGCGTGTGCAAAATTTCAAGAACAAGGGCCTAGCGAGTGCAAAATTGCAAGAACAAGGGTCTAACGTGTGCAAAATAGCAAGAACAAGGGCCTAGCGAGTGCAAAATTGCAAGAACAAGGGCCTAGCATGTGCAAAATTGCAAGAACAAGGGCCTACCGTGTGCAAAATTTCAAGAACAAGAAGCGTTGGACAAAATGCGTTGGACAAAACGAGTTGGACAATATCAGCGTTGGACAAAAAATGTTGGACAAAACGCGTTGGACAAAATGCGTTGGACAAAATCAGCGTTGGACTAAACGCGTTGGACAAAAAGCGTTGGACAAAACGCGTGCGGAAAGTCTGCCCCACCTGGCCATCGACGCGCATGTGCGCCTGCATGACGCCCGCCAGCGTGGATGTCAATATGCCGGGGGCATGGGGATGGGTAGAGGGGAGTGGGAAGGAGTAAGAGGAGAGACGTAACTGAGAGGCCGAGACGTGACCAAGGCACCATAGGAGTATGGAGCGAGTGAGAGAGCGCGAGGGGAAAGGAGAGGGGTGTACGTTTGGGTGTCGTGTGAGTCGGTGACGTCCGCGATGAACTTTTCCAGACAGCGGATGCCATTGCCACACATCTGCCATGCCACGTACCATGGGGGGGGGGGGCATGCATGGGGTAAGCAGAAATCAGCGAACAGCACATGAGAAATTCTTGTCGCATGGGGAAGTGAAGTAATCTGTGTGGGTTAACCATCCCTGTACTATCTCTTGCACACTTTGGGCTCAGATCCCTCTGCACTACACTGCACCACGTTGCAGTACAGGGCGCACGTCGGGCTCACTGCCATCGATGTTGAAGATGCGCATGGTGAAGTCGGCGCCCGCCAGCCCCGGCAGCAGGAAGTTCACCCCGTCTTTGCCCACCCCGAAGTTGCGGTCGCACAGCCACGCCGCCTGCTCCTGCGACACCACCGGTTGTCCACCTGGCGGGTTGGCGGTGTGAGCGACAGAGGTAAGGACAAATGGCAGCACACGCAGTTGGATCAGGAGTGGAAAATGGCAGAAGAAGCAGCAAGAACAGGAGCAGCAACGAGAGGGGTGTAAGGAGACACGCAGGCTGGCGGGCAGGGAGGGATGGAGGGAGGAGAAGGGGGCGGCTCACGAGTATGAAGTCGTTGCCGATGCCCTGAGACTGGCTGAACCGCACCTCGCCTCTGCTCGACGCCGATCCCGTTGCCGCCTGCCATGGCTCATACCACACCACGCCGCGTTGTGCCATGCAGGGCCAAGGCGTCATGCCATGCCATTCCATGACAAAACTAATGCCAATGGATCAACGCAAGGAAACGAAACGAAAGCGCATTGCTTGAGAGCAACTCCATGACGTGCTGACGGGCCTTTCCCTCCACCCACACGACTTTCATTTCAGCAACTAGAACTTCTCGAACGAATCAGAACATTTGCTGCGATCTGCTGAGGCTACTCAGATATCACCTTACCATCGCTATCCACATTTTTTATTGGATTGTCGTCGCATACAGAACGCCATTACTCGGAGAAGCAATCCGTCTCAGGCCAGTCAGACAAGTCGCGTTTCGCGCCGCCACCCAGAAAGTTAGTGACGGCTGGTTGGTGGTGGCTTTAGGTGCCTCGACGTGGATAGCGAGACGCTTTTTGTCCAACTCGTTTTGTCCAATGAGAAGATTTGAACAAGAATGGATGGACTATGAAATGAAGTGAGTACAAATATGAAACCCTAATTGGTTGTACCCCCTATGGGATACCCCACTATAGCCTACACAACAGCATAAGCTATAATGTTCTGACACACCCCCATAGGCAAAGTGGGGGAGAACAAGGGGTCACAAGACCAGTCAAGCAAAGTAAAGCAAAGCAAGCTCAGGGTGGATCACAAAGTCACCACACAGTCCGAGCACAGGGTCAAGGCCACACGGCCAGTTCACATGCAAGAGTACACACATATATATAAAGCTAGACAAGCAAGAGCAGGTATATATATATGTGAGAGTACAGGCAAGGTCAAGAGGAGAGCAAGTGAGGCAAGACGGGCACAAGACCCAGCTGAGTGCAGAAGCGCTGATGATCACAAGGTGGAAGTGCCTTGGTGAAGACATCAGCAGTGTTGGCCTCAGAGGCCACGTACGCAAGCCGCAACTGACCACGTTGCTGTAGCTCACGAGCAAGGAAGTAGCGGAGAGCAATTTGCTTTGTTCTGTGCTCCAGTCGCTGCTCTCGACACAAGGCCAGCATGGCCTTGTTGTCTACGTACAGGACTGGAGGAGAACGAGGCGGCTCTCCAAGGTCGGTCAGCAGGTAGGTGAGCCAGCGAAGCTCCTGTGCAGCCATGGCCCCGGCGTAGATCTCAGCCTCACAACTCGAGCCAAGAACAGAAGACGAGCGAGTAGCCCGCCACGAAACAGAGCCGGAACCAAGGCTGAAGGTGTAACCCTGTGACGACCGCTGCGTAGCCTGGTCGTCAGCCCAAGAAGCGTCCGCGTGCCCAGTGAGGACCACTGGACTCCGCCCTCCAAGCACTAGCCCCATGCCCGACGTACTGCACAAGTAGCGCAACACCCTCTTCGCTGCAGCCATGTGCTCTGGTCTGTGTCTCCCAGGAGCAACATAGCGTGCCAGAATGCTAAGAGGGTATGCAAGGTCAGGTCGTGTGCAGGTCATCAGGTACATGAGGCAGCCAACAAGCTCTGGGTACGGGCCACTCGACTCTACGGACTCATCCGAAGGCAGAGCTGAGAGCGAGTGGCGAGTAGACAGAGGAGTGGCCTGAGGCGAGGAGTACGTGAAGCCGAAGCGCTGAAGGACCTGCTGCACCATGTGTGACTGAGTCAGGGTAATGGTGCGGCGTGCTCTGTCCCGGGTGATCTGCAAGCCAAGGTAGCTGCGCAGTTCACCTAGGTCTGTGCACGTGTGTCTCTTCTGCAGCTCGGACTTCACGTAGGCGAGTCCAGCAGTGTCAGCTGTGGCAAAGACCAAGTCGTCGACGTACACGAGGATGTAGAACGGCGGCAGAGAGGTGTCGGTGCGTAGAAACAGCGACGGGTCGGCAGTAGAAGGAGCAAACCCAAGAGCCGCAAGTGTAGTCCTCAGTGTGTCGTGCCACTCACGTGGCGCCTGGCGGAGACCGTAGACTGGACGCCGGAGACTCCACTGGGTACCAGAAGGGAAAGACCCAGTGAATCCAGGTGGGCGACGCAGCCAGATCTCCTCGTGCAGGCTGCCCTGCAAGAAAGCTGTGCTGAAGTCAAGAGAGTGCAGCTCGTAGTCACGGTGAGCAGCAACGTGCAGCAGTACCCGAAGAGTGGTCATCTTCGGGGTGGGGGAGAAGGTCTGAAAGTAGTCAACTCCCTGCCGCTGACTGAAGCCACGAGCCACGTAACGCGCCTTGAAGACAGGCGGAGAACCCGGCGGCCGCTTCACCCTGAAGATCCACATGCCACTGACGATGTTCGCCCCAGGAGGGGGGACAGCGTCAACGTAGGTGCCTGTGGACTTCCAGGAAGCCATCTCTGCATCCATAGCTGCCTGCCACTGAGAGGAGTAGGGACCCTCTATCGCCTCCGCGTAAGAGCGCGGAGTCGGGATGTCAAGTGCATCCGGGTCTCCCTCAGGGGTAAGCAGTACGGACACGAGATGAGGTGAGGCAGCTGCCAGACACTGGAACTCCTCCTGCCTGTCCTCAAGGACGTCCGTGCCAAGGGCACACTCACCCCCGACGGACGGAGGACAGACAGACTCAGACTCAGCGACAAGACTAGCAGCGTAGTCTAAGCGACAGCGAGCAGCAAAGTCGACGAGCTCAGTAACTAGAGCAGACGCAGCAGTAGACTCGAAAGAAGGGTCAGTGACAACAGTAGCAAGGAGACGCGTGACAGTAGGACTGGCAGCACGAAGAGAGTCCGACTCCGGGTCGGCAAGAGCAGGAAGAGAGGACTCAGGAGGAGAAGGCAAAGGGGCACGCAGAGGAGCAGTGGACGGACGCAGAGACATCCGGTGCGTGCCAGGGACAGGAGGAGGACGCTGACGCGAACCGCGACCACTAGTGCGAGCAGCACGGACAGGCGACGTAGGGCGAGACGCAGGCTCACGACGCTCAGCCAGACCTCCAGTAGGACCAGTGTAGGGAGAAGGAGCAGGCAAAGGGGAGGTAGGCTGCAACTGTAGCTGGGACGAGACAGGCTGTGGACACTTTAAGGGGGGAGGAGGACCAGTAGAAGGTGGAAGACCAAGAACCTGCTGCAGGAGTGGCACGAAGTACGGTCGAGGCCGCGCGGCGACGCTAGAAGCAGCAGGGACAGCACCAGAACCCTCAGCAGGAGCACCCGCTCCAGCAGCACCACCAGTAGCTCCAGAACCTCCAGCAGCACCAGGACTGCCAGCGGTAGTCTCAGCGCCAGCACCCTCAGCAGCACCAGCTCCAGTGCACCCAGGACGAGCACCTCTGGGACCCGCGACCGCAGCACCCTCAGCAGTCGAAGGACCTCCAGCACCAGCAGCACGCCTCCAGCGCCGGGCAAACCACTCACGCAGCTCCTGTGGAGAAAGTGGCTCCCGGCGAGACGAAGCACTCGGAGAACCTCCAGGCGGAGCACCTCCAGGCTCAGCACCCCCAGGCGTAGCACCCCTAGGCTCAGCACCCCCAGACGTAGCACCCCTAGGCTCAGCACCCCCAGGCTCAGCACCCCTAGGCTCAGCACCCCCAGGCTCAGCACCCCCAGGCTCAGCACCCCTAGGCTCAGCACCCCCAGGCTCAGCACCCCTAGGCTCAGCACCCCCAGACGTAGCACCCCCAGGCCCAGCACCCCTAGGCTCCGCACCCCCAGGTACAGCACCCCCAGCCTCAGCACCCTCAGCAGCACCAGAGTCACCAGTGACCTCGACAGGCTCGACTGCGTCTACCTGGGACACACCTGAAGGGGCAGGACCCTGAGGGGGGAGGGGGTCTACCTGGGGGGGACCTGGTACCAGGAAGAGTGGGGGTGGGGGGAGGGACGGAGTGCGGTAGGGGAAGAGGCGGTAGTAGGGGACCGACTCGTCAAACGTGACGTCCTGGGAGGACAGAACACGGCGAGAGGTGGGGTGGTAAAACTGCCACCCAGGCGCGTCAGGGGGGAACCCCAGGAAGACGCAAGGAGCAGCACGAGGGGATAGTTTGTGCGCAGACAGGTCGCGGACAAACGCCCGAGATCCCCAGACCCGGAACGCCGACGCATCGCCAACCTTCCCCGTCCACAGCAAGGCTGGGGAGGTCTCCGGCCTGGAGACCCTGGGGTGGAGGTTGATCTGATGCGCCGCGTACCTCACCGCAAACGGCCACAGAAAATGGGGGGCAGCCGCATGCATCATAGACGTACGAGCGACGTCCATGACCATGCCAATGCGGCGCTCAGCAATCCCATTTTGCTGCGGTGAGTCCGGAAGCGTGAAGGTCTGACGGATGCCCCGTGCACGACAGTAGGCACGCAGAAGGCCAGAGGAGAACTCTCCGCCTCTGTCCGAGTGCAGACGCAGAACAGGAAAGTCCGAGCCGAAGCTCTGCCTGAGCTGGAGACGAGCTGCGCGGATCCAGTCGATCAGCACCTCAGTGACATCACCCTTG